AAGGCTAACATTAAATAATGGTCTAAAAAACAAAACAGAGTAATTTTACCTATGTACACAGTGTCAAATAAAGCTATAACAGAAGGGAAAAGCCAGCTATAACAATCTATTAACAAGAATTATGTACTATAACTATTTTCTTTCCATTGGTGTTGAAGTTATCCCTGGTAATGTTTTTTTTTCATATTAACTACATGCTGAAATCTTGCTACATAGGTCCTTTGGATACAACCTTAGTCTTCTTGAAAAGTACCGACAACTAAAAATACAATATATATGGTTTTGCACCTGCTACTCCATCTACAGTTATTGTAGCAAATACGGTACAGGCATGGGAACAGGGGCAAGCGAACCAAGAAAACAGATGTCATCGTGTTTTCCTGCCAACAACGCCAATGTTAAACAAACAGCACGCACATCAAACCAAAACAAATCTGCCCTCCAACAATCTAGAAGTCATAACTCAGCCATCACACACATTAAACTTCAAATACGTAATGCCCAGGGAAACACTTTGCACAATAGGTGTCTCTGAACAAGAATTACACAGCACTGAATTTAATGTACAGTACAAAGTATTTGGTAATTGAAAGTAGATCTTTATTATCTAACACGTTTCTTGTAAGAGTGCAATGTGTGTAAAAGTTTGTGTTTAAAAACAAACATGAAAACTGCTATAGAAAAGAGCTGTTTTGAATGACTCAGAAAAGATGTTTGGTTTGATCATAAGTTGTACTTTCCTTTAGAACACTGAATGCCTTTTATTTCTACAACTAGTACCAGTTAATTCTTATGCTTATTCTTTTCATTAAAAATTCCCAGTGTCAGTGTATTTGTTATCTAAACATCAACAATGAAATGAATAATATGCAGATGTATTTATCTAGGAAAATCATACAAAAAGGCTGTGGCTTTTTGTGATGCTTTTCATGTTTGCTGTGCTGGAGCCTGGAGTTGCTGGAAATACTGAAATACATCCTTATTATTATGTTGAAAATAGTTCAGTGTGCTTAAAATCTAAGAAGATGTAAATGATATACATTTAAAGCAGAAGCCACACCTTTAAATGAAGCACAGACAGTTATATAGAGTATAAACACCTACAGCCTACAATAGCTGTTATGTAATGTGAGATGGGGCTGTAGTGAAGATAAAATGTCTTTGTCACACATCATGCCAGGCGTGTTTATTACACTGGCCTAACAGTAATCCTGCTGACTCCGTTATTCTTCTGTATCCACAGAACACAGGATCAGAAATCAGTGTATGAACTAGTACAAATGTCTGATGTATTGATTTTGTTATTGAAACTCCCATGATGGACATTCATCTCTAAAATAAAATTAGGAGGAAAAAAAAGTCTTATGCCCGTCTCCCAAATAAATATTGGGCAACAAACTATGTTTAAATAATCTGGAATGAAAAATAAACCAAAATGGACCACAAAATATTGACAGCCTTTGTTCCATTTATAAATCTACATTAAAATCCAGAGATGAACAGAACAACAGAGTATTGTCCAGTCATGTACAGCGAGGGAACCCCAGCTACAGGAAGTGTACAGACCAAAAGGATGCATAGGTTCACACAAATGTATGCAAGACATGGCTAGCAGGAAACAAGCACATCCCATGTGGGTAATGGGTTAGGGTTATATGTCAGATGGATAGGCAGTGGTGACTTTCCAGACCAGTGGCAGGCATGCACCTAAGGTTAGAGGACTTTAGCAAGGCACATTGCTCAGATTGCTCCAGTAAGTGTCCCGTTGTTTAATCGGGTCTCCAAATCGCCATTGTTAAATGACAGTTTGTTCTTTATTGACTTACCTGGCAAAATAAAGGACTAAAAACACATAAGAGACATAAGTCACTTTTACTCCCAACAAAGAGACAAAATATCCCAGCTGGGATATTTTGAGACAGGTTGGGCACACAAAAAGGAGAGACACATTCTTGTTGGGTATATTTCGAGCTTCTTGTTAGGTATATTTCGAGCAAACACAGATTTCATTTTGGTGCGACTGATGGAAAAAATCAGTTTAACACATGCTAATGGGAAAGGGTGTTTTTCATTTCCTGAAGTAATGCAAAACAGGCTTCACAGTGGGACTTAGAAAACCCTTATTTTGGAAACCGTGAAGGAAATCTTACCTTTGACTGCCTCCTTTTAGCGTTTGTTAGTGATCACAATCGTCCAGCTTTAACACAGGCTTGAATAGTATCACATCCATCTATCCATCTATCGCAGCCATATCACCCTGCAACTCACAACTGGCAACCCACTGAAGCTAAACAGGTGTGAGCCTGGTCAGTACCTGGATGGGAGACCTCCTGGGAAAAACTAAGGTTGCTGCTGGAAGAGGTGTTAGTGGGGCCAGCAGGGGGCGCTCACCCTGCGGTCCATGTGGGTCCTAATTCCAAAGTATGGTGACGGGGACACTATACTGTAAACAGGCGCCGTCCTTCGGATGAGATGTAAAACTGAGGTCCTGACTCTCTGTGGTCATTAAAAATCCCAGGGTGTTTCTCGAAAAGAGTAGGGGTGTAACCCTGGCGTCCTGGCCAAATTTCCCATTGGCCCTTACCAATCATGGCCTCCTAATAATCCCCATCTATGAATTGGCTTCATTACTCTGCTCTCCTCCCCACTGATAGCTGATGTGTGGTGAGCGTTCTGGTGCACTATGGCTGCTGTCGCATCATCCAGGTGGATGCTGCATTGGTGGTGGTGGAGGGGAGTCCCCATTACCTGTAAAGCGCTTTGAGTGTCCAGAAAAGGGCTATATAAGTGTAAGCAATTATTATTATTATTATTATCCATTTTCCAACTACTTCACCCAATTCAGGCTTGCTGGGGAGCGAGAGCCCATCCCAGCAAGCAATGGGAGCAAGGCAGGTACACCCTGGTTCAAATACCAGTCCATTGCAGGGCCAGTTGTCCCAGAAGCCAATGAATCTACTAGTATGCAGTATTAATCTACCAGTACATTAAACTGTGGGAGGAAACCGGAGCACGTAGAGGAAACCCATGGAAACCCAGAGAGGATGTACAAACTCCACACAGACAGCACCCCAGGAACCGAACCCAGGGACCCCAGCACAACTGTGTTGCTCATGGTTTAACATGAACACCGAAAATGGAAAAACAAAGGTGAATTCAGGCAATATTCAGCTCTGTTACTTTTGAAACTGAGGTGAGGAACTGGATTTTGTATAGGTCACTGTATGCATTTTAGCAACAGGACAATAACAAAAGGTGACTTTTTGCAGATTTACTCCTATACAGATAACAAGTAATCCACAATCGTAAAATTAAAACCTTTTATCTGCTCCAGTCTTACCTTTGTCACTTGCGACTGCCTTGTGTACAAACATTGGCAGACTGAAATTCTGTTTTACTTGATTCTAAGATAGTCTTGTGCATATGCCTCTGAAGTGCAGGTTATTCTCCTTTAATGAGACATTCACACAATAAGCAAGACCACATGTTTTAGCACAGAAGTCTAAAGTCCACAGAGCCTTTAACATCTATTGGGCTCACCAATGCAAAGAAAGGAGCTCTCAGCAGTCGGCAGGGAGAGAGCTGGTGTCTGGCTCAGAAGAACCTCTTGTCATAGGTGCCACGCCCACCCAGTACAGTTTGCCTAAGGAAGCTCGTCTCTGGTGCCTTTTGTTTAAAGGCATACCCATGACAGGGCAATAGACTTTAACACACACAAAAAAATAAAGAGTAAGCAATTTCTATCAGGGGGTAAACTTTGTCATCCTTGAGAGAAAGTGCTGTTTCCTGCTTTTCCCTTTGTGTGATGAAAATGGGTAAAAAAGCCCATGCTTATGTATTAAAAATGCCGATGAAAATAAACCTTGACATTCAGAACGCTGATTCGACGGGCTCTGTTCATAGAGCCCATTTAGAATTATCATGTGTAGCTTTGAAACCTTCAGGCCATTTTCCAAGCAGCTACAGCATAATCCACAGAAAAGGAAGTAGGCCTGTACACTACATCCCGTTTAGCACTGAAGCACTCAATGAATTTGCAGTTGTTAATATTCAGATTTTTACAAATTAAAAATGCCAAAGAAACATCAAATGCCCTGGTTTGGAACTTTATTATTATTAAAATGAGACATTATTAAGCTGCTGCTGTTCGGAAAGATGGAGCCAGACACAGGCCCCCGAAATCAGACATAAGGGGTCTTGCTTAATTTAAATATATAAAAAATATTGTAATGATTCAACCTTTAATTCAAAGTCCCATATTACTCCGAAACCTTTTACGGACGTTTTTTCCCCATCGGGTGCAACAGAATTAGGAAATATACTAAGGAAAAATATTATCTGAATTAAAACTACACTTTTATTAGAAATAATCATGAACTAGTAACAAACAGCACACTGTCGTCTCGTTAATTAGGACACTTTTACGGGTATTTGCGTGTATGAGTATAAAGTTGCATATTATCACCGAAATGTGACATTATACACAACAACGACGGATTCAAGGATTCTTAAGGGATGAGACAATGGGAAAACAAATCGGAATAATAGATTTCTAATATAAAGCAGAGATAACATCACAAATCATACACATACAATTATTACAGCTAAATGAATTATACGACGTACAGTCGTACAAATTTTATAGTGCACCAAAATTGAGGTAATTATTAAATGAAGGTGCCATTAGGATTTAAAAGCAATTTCCAAAGTAAGGTTAAAGAAAACCCAAAATAAAACAACTGCAGGGTTCTTAAAAAATACTCGTGCATATCTCGTATTAAGTCGCACCGAATTTTTTCTTCTCTTTTCTTTTTTTTTCCCCCTTTTTTTTCTCCTTTCTCTCCCTCTCCCTCACCAGCTCTCAAGTTGCAACAAACACTGTGGAGTGCAGCAATGTGCACGCGACACACAAGAGTGCGTGACGCCGGCCAATCAGATCGCCGAGTTCCGAAAGTTTACCTTTTATGGCGAGAGCCGGGCACCAGGCTGAGGATATAACAGAGCTCCCAGCCGGCATCGACTCACTTTGAGCTCCTCCACACGCAGCTAGTGCGGGAATCGCCAGCCTGTCTTTCTTTCTTTAAGCTGTTAAAAAGCCCCACACCCAAGGTAAGGAAACAAAAGTTTTATGCTCTTTTCTTTTTTGAAAGAAGGAAGGTATCTATTGTTGTACTTGTACACCGATGACTATTGGGCTTGTAGCAGTTTATAAAGGGTTGGATATTTGTTTTTTTTTTAAATGAATGAAGGAATTAGTCGCTTGTTCTGGAGTCACGAGGTTCTTTGTTCTTCTGCTTAATGTTGGGGATTTTAATGGGAATTAAGGCGTAAATGCTTTCTTAACAATTTTGCAGCCTGCTTTTTAGAACGTTTCATTGTAACGAGCGAAACTAGAGGACAGGCTGTCTTTCTTTTAGCTGGCTTTTGTCGAACCGTTGGTGCTGGTGGGGTACGAGCCCCCCTTTTAGACCCTAATTTCAAGTTTAAATTTTAATGCGCCTAACGGTTGGGGGAGGGAAATAGCGGGACTTTTCGTCCCCTCTCTCCAGGTCTTTCAGTGCAGTTGGGTGTGACCTAGTTAAGAGGCTTCGTTTCCCGGCGTGACGAGCCGGCTTTTCACATTTGCTGCGCCTTTAAAACGTGACGGTTGAGCGGGCGCGTTCAGAACCGGTTTAGGCGTGCACACTTTTTGTTAGGTGCTTGATTTTTTTTTTCTTTTGGGTGGTTCGTGTTTTAGCGGATCCAGTTCGGGCGTTGGTTCTGGGGGGGTTGGGAGGAGGGAAGGGGGGGGTCGGTTGTGAACGGAGGATTCTGGGTTGCAAGGCGTGGCTGGGCTGCTGGCGGGCTGTTGTGCGCTCGCTTGGCGGCTCCACTCGCCGGTTATGTAACTTGCCGATGGCTGGGGCTGCTGGTTCGGCCGGTTTCCTGCAAGAAATGCACCCGGTGTCCGGTAGTTGTGGGGGTGGATAATGGCGGTCGTGATCAGGGTGCAGCTGTGAGGAAGCGGTCTCGGCGAGCCGGTTCCGTAGTCGTTAGCCCGGCTTCGACTGCAAGTGTCTTGGTTTAAAAAAAAAAGTGGTGGGTGGTGGCGGGGGTATGAAAAGGGAGGTCTAGCTGGAGTGGGGAGATGAACGGATAATTCATTAAATGCTTAGCGAAATGTGACGCAGAGCAATCTCTGAACCCCCCTCCCTCCCCCCCCCGGCAGGCTGTTAAGTCTTGAGCAATGCGCCCTTCTTTTGAAAAGGGGAAGTGCTGAACTCGAGGGGTAAGATTTGGGAGTGGTCACGGCCATGCTTCTCGTATGTTGAAATAGGTTCCTCTGGGTTGAACCTTCCCAGGCTGGCAGAGTGCCACGCCGCCGGCAGTCGCAAAGCTGCTCAAACCATTGCCTTTTATGGTAATAAAGAGAGAATAGAGCGGACTTCCTTTGTCTCGAATCTGTAGATTTGAATTGTTCGGCGCCAGAGCTCCACCTAGAGGCTCGAAGGCGGAATTGCACCCGGAATCGGAAGTAGGAAATGAGTTCCCTACTTTGGGGCATCCTCATTGTAGTTTTACAGCGGTTATGGATTAAAGCCGCCTTTTAGCACTTCGTCCGTTTTTTAATTTTTGAACCAATTCTTTTTAATTTCCAGATCAGCCATGGAAGATGAAATTGCCGCACTGGTTGTTGATAACGGATCCGGTATGTGCAAGGCCGGATTCGCTGGAGATGATGCTCCTCGTGCTGTCTTCCCATCCATCGTCGGTCGCCCAAGACACCAGGTATGAATCTTAATAAGAGGTGCTAGGTTGTTAAACTGGGGTTCATGCAATTTGGAATTGGGATACAAATTCATGTTAATTTGACGGCTCACGTTGCACTGAATGCTTGTTTTGTAGGGTGTGATGGTTGGTATGGGACAGAAGGACAGCTATGTCGGTGATGAGGCCCAGAGCAAGAGAGGTATCCTGACCCTGAAGTACCCCATTGAACACGGCATTGTCACCAACTGGGATGATATGGAGAAGATCTGGCATCACACTTTCTACAATGAGCTGAGAGTTGCCCCTGAGGAGCACCCTGTTCTGCTCACTGAGGCCCCCCTGAACCCCAAAGCCAACAGAGAAAAGATGACACAGGTTAGTTTGACAGGATTCCTCACCCCCCCCTCCTCTTTCCCTTCTGTCATAAATGATCAGGGTGTACATTCTTTCCTTCCTTTCTTCCTATTCATTGTTTTCCTGACTCTTTTCAGGGACCTTCAGACCTGACTTTCATCTCTTTTGCTGGAGCTACAGGTTTATTTCCTTTGCTGTTCTTCTGTTTGCAGTTTTTTCACTGCACTTTTTCCAGTCTCCTAGACTAGTGAATGACTTTTGCTTTCAACTGCACTGAAACTTCACTAATTGTGTTAAAATGGTACATCAGCATGCACTAACCTGAAATAACGTCTGGTTTCCAGACTGTAGCAGCTGAAACAAACTGGCCCCCTTTTTTCACAGATCATGTTTGAGACCTTCAACACCCCAGCCATGTATGTTGCCATCCAGGCTGTGCTGTCTCTGTATGCCTCTGGTCGTACCACTGGTATCGTGATGGACTCTGGTGATGGTGTTACCCACACCGTGCCCATCTATGAGGGTTATGCCCTGCCCCATGCCATCCTCCGTCTGGATTTGGCTGGTCGTGACCTGACTGACTACCTCATGAAGATCCTGACCGAGAGAGGCTACAGCTTCACCACCACAGCCGAAAGAGAAATTGTCCGTGACATCAAGGAGAAGCTGTGCTATGTTGCTCTTGACTTTGAGCAGGAGATGGGCACTGCTGCTTCCTCCTCCTCCCTGGAGAAGAGCTATGAGCTGCCTGATGGGCAGGTCATCACCATTGGCAATGAGAGGTTCAGATGCCCCGAGGCCCTGTTCCAGCCCTCTTTCCTGGGTAGGTATCTGGGATTTGCCACTAGAGCCCACATGCTTACAAAAGGATAAAGGTTTTCCATCTATTTGGGGGAAATTGAGGTTAACTTGACAATGTCTAATTATGTGTTCTTAGGTATGGAATCCTGTGGCATTCATGAGACCACCTTCAATTCCATCATGAAGTGTGATGTCGACATCCGTAAGGATCTGTATGCCAACACTGTACTGTCTGGTGGTACCACCATGTACCCTGGCATTGCAGACAGAATGCAGAAGGAGATTACATCCTTGGCTCCTAGCACAATGAAAATCAAGGTAAGGTTTTCTCCATCTAGCAACTTGTGCACTAGCTTTAGGAAGCACTTGACTACAGTATGGGGTAAGTATACGTGGTATTCAACTTCTTTGTCTTTATAGATCATTGCCCCACCTGAGCGCAAGTACTCCGTCTGGATTGGAGGCTCCATCCTGGCTTCCCTGTCCACCTTCCAGCAGATGTGGATCAGCAAGCAGGAGTACGATGAGTCCGGACCTTCCATCGTCCACCGCAAATGCTTCTAAACGGACTGTTACCACTTCACACGCCGACTTTAACTGCGCAGAGAAAACCAGAAACAACAAATTGGCATGGCTTTTGTTATTTTTGGCGCTTGACTCAGGATTTAAAAACTGGAACGGTGAAGGTGACGGCAATGTTTTTTGGCAAATAAGCATCCCCGAAGTTCTACAATGCATCTGAGGACTTAAAATGTACATTTCTTTTTTTAGTCATTCCAATGTTTAATGTTAAATGCATTGTTCAGAAACTTATTTGCCTCTATGAAGGCTGCCCAGCAATTGGGAGCACACTTAAAAAAAACCTTGTTGTAGTATTGCTTATATGTAAATTATGTAACCGATACCAATGTCTGGGTTTTTGTACTTTCAGCCTTAAATTCTTGGTCCTGTATTTTTGATTTTTGTTATGCAAAAGCAACCTTTATAAAAACAAAGGTTTACATCCCCCCCAGGCATATGTTACAAGCCGTATGGAAAGTGGCGGTGCCAGACCTATGGTGGAGCCTACCTGTACACTGACTAATACAAATCCAATAAAGTGCACATGTCTAAGACATGCTGAAGTTTGTGTTCTTTCATGTGACTTGAGCTTTTTCTGCAACTTCTAAAACTGGTTTGGGTGCTAGAGGGAAGTGTCTTACTGGAGGTGGTAAGTCTTTTCTGGTGTTTAAAACTACTCAAGAATCAATTTCTTAGGAGTTAACAGGGATTTAGTACTTCATATTGATGCTAAGGTTTGAATTTAAATTCACTCTTGCTGCATGCACCTCTTGGGAGTTTGATTGCCACATTCAGTATGAAATTTTAGGTATACTTTTAGTGTAATCAATGCAGGGGCCAATTGTTCTAGATGCTGAACTGCCAGAACGCTTCCCACCACAAATTTAGTGCTGCTAGAGGAAGAGTAGTTTACATTATCCCTTTGTTTATTCTTGACTTCTGGAAGTGCTTTAGGTCAAGGATCTAAAGGACTGCAAATCTGCCTCATGTGAGCATGTAATAGCCACCTGCAATACACTTCAATAGACTTGGACTCCAGGAAATGTTTAATCTCCCAATGATCAGCAGAAAATGTTAATGTTTATTTGGAAAGGTTGGATCCTGAGCAAACTACTACCTGGAGACTTCAAAACAGGTGTATTGGAGGGTAAGTCAACCAGTGCCTTGTATGGGGGGGGGACCTGCATGATGACCATAGTGGCAACATCTCATAGCTAAAATGGTAAAGGGACTAACTGCTCTTTTGTAGTTGACTTAATATGGGGATTGGTATTCTACCTAGACTCAAAGTAGTGCAGTGTTTAATGGGCAAATTTCTGGGTTTTTCTGGAATTCCTCCTAAAATATTTCCATTGCATTCATGTCAGGGAAAGGTGATGACCCTTATGTTGGCTATCCACTAAAGTTTAAAGCAGATTTTTTTTTTTTATTGGTCTGTGCCCAAATTAATACATCTCAACCTATTTATACAAGTTATTACCAACTGAACAATATGGAAGTGTTTTAAGGCTGTCGGTCACAAATTCTAGTACCAGAAAAACTGATTCAATTCAATATACCCTTATGGGTCTGTTAAGTGAACTTGACTTAGAACTATGTTCACTGTTGGACAATCCTAGTCCTTGAGAGCTCCAATCCAGCAAATGTCATAGATCATGCTTAAATCCAATTTTAGAAGCCTATAATTTAACCTTTAGAATATTGATTCAATTAAATTGGTATTTATCAATTGTCCTTGAGCAACAGACAAAACTGGTATTTATTTCAATTGCACAAATTGCCTGGTTAAGTAATTAACTTGTTCCAGGTATTTTGAAACCAAGATTAAAATGTAATTTATAAATGAGGATCGAAGATCGAACCTACCCACTTAGTCAAGGGCTGTTACTGCTGTGTTGAACAGTTTTATTTTCCTGCTTTTAAAAAGGTTAATGGATTCCAGCCCAGGAGAGGATAGCACATTTCGTGTTTTATTTTTTGTCTGCTACAGTGTCTAATCCTCAGAGTTTGGTCATTGCACACTTGACTATGCTGTTAGCTGTGTTGGAGTCTAGATCAGTAATAGAAATTAGAGCTGTGGTTGTGATGCAGATCCCTGTTTCACTAATTGCATAACCCCAATTTAATCAGTGCCATCACCACCTATCAGTACTATTTCCTGGACTATGTCCATGAACCAATTCACAGTCCAAGGACATGCACTTCAGTGAATGTCGGCAGCCTACAATTTGATAATTACATTCTATGAGGAAATTTATCAATAGCCTTCTGAAAATCTACATACACAATATGTTCTTGGTTTGTACCTAATACTATTATCCAGATTACTCCTGCAAATTGAGAACTTTATATAAATCCATATGGACATACAGTGCAGCCTATCCTTTAATTCCAATTATTTCTCTAACCTTACATATAGTAGAAATATGATATATTGGCCTATAATTCCCTGTATTGGATAAAGAAGTTAGAAAATAGATGGATTGTCTATAATTACTTGGTTCAGTTTTCTCTTGTTATGGTTGGGTGCTATATTAAACACTTTTCCAATGAGAATTACCTTTGTCCCTGAAGACTTGCAGGAAGGGGTTTGTTAATGACAACATTACCGTTCGATAAGCTTCATTGCATTCCAGGTACATTTTCACTATACTGGTTATACGCCCAGTGAGACCCACTCCTGTCTGTACCTGTTGGCAGCCAGCTGTCTTCGCAAACAGCTACATGCCCATAGATCCCATTCTGCACTAAAGTGTTTTTCTATTCCTAAAGAAATGTACAACGCCTGTCCTTGCAGTAAGGTCAATTAGAAGATATCTACTGGATTGTTGCCACAAAGCCATTACTCCAAAGAACATTATATCATGGCGGATGACCGCTAAATGAGGGAATCTTTTGGCTTTGTAGCCAACTACTCCCCCGAAGCATTTTTGCTAGGACCCTTTGTGTCTGCAACAGGATTATTATTACCTCCCAGACCCAACAGTGCACCCACAGACCAGTCATCCTACATAATTACACTGTTTATTACAGTACATCAATTTACCCATCACACAAGACCCATCACACAACACAAAATTTCTATAACTGCCTAACCTGCGCACATGACAACTTACAGAACAGTACAGGAACCCCAAGGAGACCCGAGTTTCCAAAACGAATGTCCCAAAGGAAAAGTCCATCATTCACTTGATCGCAGCATTATTCCCCCAAAAGCAGCTCCAGTCGGTGACCTGGTCTGCCACCTCCCGCCACTCCAAAGGAAGGGATGAAACTCAGTGCAGTACTTTGGTGGTCTTCAGGCCCGGTTGTCCTGAACAATGTGGTTTCTTATGCCCCCACCCTGTTTTTCTCCAAGTCGATCTCCAGGTAGGGGCGAAGGAAGAAAGACTATGGCAGGATCTTCGTCCTCCGCAGAGTCCTTGGTGTCTGAGGTCTCTCCTGGATCCAGCACAGAAATCTGTGTCCCCCTCAGATCTTCCATCTCAAATCCGCTCCCGAGTCAGACTTGCTCTCTGGGGGGAGGGGGACGTGTCCTTTTGATGTCTTGGTTGTGGGCAGAGCATGAACTGGGTGTAGGCACATGGCCAGGTCTAACATGCACTGTCTATTCTTAACCTGTTCCGAAGCCACCCCTCCTCTCGATCTGGGACCAAGTTAGACATACTTGTGTTGAAATCCCACATATCACCTCTGTGGTAATTAATCAGTGTCTGTGCAAAGGTGATCTTTGATTACCAGCAATAAGCTCAAAGATCAAGGGTAGAAAAACAGCAAACCTTAGGGAGATACTGGCCATACAATACAAGCATCAAGTCAACATAGTCCCTGATGCCTGTCGTCCCACAAACCTGTTTTTTCACTCTTGTGACATTTATTTCAGTTTTGATGGCACAACAGGATCTCATACATCACACGGAGTCACCTAAAAGGTTGTTTTGCGTGATTGCTTTCCCAGGAGCCAGTGTTCACAAGTTACAAAGGCCCTGCACTAGTTTGATACATGTAGCTTTTTTAGGCAACACCTAATTTGTACTCAAAACACATAATTCTACTTTACACACCTGGTATGAAATACACCGTCTTCATAATTCCAATATTATGTATATGGAGATAAATCTGCTTCACTGTATTATATCTCAGGCTTATAACCTCGCACATTTAAGTTGTTCATTTCATCTGTGAGATTCGCAATCGAATAAAATCGATATAGATAAGACGTTAACTGAATTAAACGTAGAACACTAGAAACCAAATACCGGTGGTCAAAATCTTAGAAACATTATTCGAAGTATTCTGCTCTTAAATAGGAAATGAGAGAAATACTGAATTATTCTGAATTATTTTAATTTCAAACATATGCTTTTCATTACGTTATGCAAAGTAAATCGCACGACACATAAACCTTGGGATTAAAAGACGATTAACTCAAAAACTGCGACATTTAGCGCCTGCCGACCTTACCAACATGTGGGAAGGTCCTACCGGAAGCGTGGCAGTTTATGTTTCCGGAAAAGAAGGTCCGTTCGCAAAGGTGCTCCGGTGTAGATGTTTCTTAGCTGCAGAAAGGTGTAATAGGACGTTATGCCATCTGAAACGTCTTTAAAAGACAATTCAGATTGGTATAGTTGATTGTCATTTCATATTATGTATGTGTTCAGAAAGAAGACTTCGGAATTAGAAATGGACAATCAAACAGCAGAGGTAATGTCTCTAACTATCCACTCAGTAGTGAGTAAATCGTAGGCAATATGTAAGCCAGTTTGTATATTACTATAATTAAAAAAACATGTCTTGAATAAGAAACCATATTGCAAAACAGTGTAACCAATGGTGATCAGGTCTGGGTTGGCGAAAGTAAAAGAACAGTGGTTTGTCTTAATTTTCAACGATTATGTAGGAGAGTAGAACAGATGTAAGGCTTACAAGTGGTGGTGATTATTACGCTTTGTACATAAAGGATGAGATTAATAACCGCATTTAAATGTTTTCTAAATATATTTGTTTTAAAATACTTGCATTACATATTGGAAAAACGGACTACCGGACTGCATGAATTGATGTCATAAGGTGGGGTTTATGTTTCAGTGCTACACGATTAAGATGAACAAATCAATTCTCAAGATCTATTCGCTTTGTAAACTCTGAGGAGCGCCTCATCAGGGAAGCTGGTGTAACTCCGGTTTATTCCAGTGACACCAGTTGAATCAACGCTGCAAACAAGCTTGCATAGAACAGATGAGAAAAAGGCGTGGATTTAGATTAATTTTAGGAAATGCTGATAAGATTACGCTTCTTTGAAAATGTATTTCCACGTTTTTGTCATATTTATGAAAGCTGTGAAATTCCTTTAATTTTCGATCAACGTTCCAAAATGTCACTGTACAGCTGGCAGAGACTGTATCACTCTTATAGATATACTATAAAAGAGTGGTTGCAGACATAATTGTCAGGAACTTGTTTCCAAATGTATTCTCTCATTTATTAATATTGCTTTTCAAAGTATACTTATTCTTCTATACATTTCTGTTTATAGAGAATTAAAGTGCCAAAGAAGAACAATCTATCACTCGCTGTGTCAGCTTGAAGCTGGTCTGAGACCTTTAGCTTTTCATGTGTCTGTGGATCTGTTCTCCTTCCTCTTTCAGGAGGTGGCCAGCGAGGCTTCCATAGAGCGAAATGGCATCAACATGTCCGAATTCTCAGATGAGATCTTGCTGAACATTCTGAAACACGTGCCCACCCATGACCTGGCTCTCAGCGTCAGGAGAGTGTGTAAAAAGTTTGCCACTTTGTGTCTGGACAAGAGCCTCACCAACTACGTGCAGGTTTCCAGGGATTATCAAGTAAGACAATACTTTGTGGCTGATTACTAATAATAATCGTTTCTTTGCTATTTTATTGATTTGAAAAAACATTCCAGGTCTTTTTATTTATATTACTAATTTCCCATGTGATAACATCCGCCTAGTGTTGTGGTTGCAGAAAAGAGCTCTGTTATTTGAGACTTTGACCACAGGCACAACGGTGGGGTGTGTTTTTCCTTGGGTGACACAGAGAAGTATTCCTGGGGATTAAGATGTAGCGAGGCCGACCATTTTGAATCCAAGTTTCATCCCTTCCCGATGTGACAGTGAAAGCTGATTTTTGTGGTTCTAGTTCTTAAAGGGGAACTGCAGTCCCAGTTTCTTGAATCTTGGTAACAAAATAAATTCATTGACAGTGTAGTTAAATTTGACACATTTCTAATTAAGCACAAAACCGTGAACTACAGGCAAGAGCGAGAGTTTGCGCAAATTGCAGCACGATGCGGCCCTTCGTGCTCCTTAGTCACTGTGATGTAATTTGATGTACAAGCGAATAAATAGAGGTGGTGCAGCAGACATCTCACCGCAGGAATGGTCCAACGTGATCTGCAGGCAGAGTTAACAAATAAGTAGTATTGATCGGCAAAACTGTCTCGAAATTGAGAGCAATATTTCTTTTGGATTAAAAGAGATGTATTCACAAGCCTGCTTGTTCACAGTATAATAGGGCCGCAATACGTCACTTGGACGGTTTGTTGCCTTGTTCTGAATTGCAAAACGTGGCGTTGTGAATACCTGTACATTTTGTTACTGTGTACATTTTTTCTTTTATTATGGTTTGAAATGCACTCGTCAATGCTGATTATTTCTAACCCCTCAAAAATAATAGGGTCGCCACTCCCCTTTAATTAGATGACGCCTAAAATAAAGAACATGAGGACATATCAAAATAATGCGTCTGGGTGTCTTCTTATCTTTTAGGTAAACGATGAGACTGTGAAGCAAGTGGTGAAAGAACTGGCTGCAGAAATCCGCACCCTCAGCCTGAGTGGCTGCTACTGGCTGTCTGGGTCGGTCATCGACCAGCTGTACAAGTGCAGGAACCTGGTCAAGCTGGACCTGTCGGGCTGCCGCCTGACCTCGCTGCGCCTCTCCAAGATCCTGTCCTCTCTGCGGGACCTGCGCTCCTTGGCCATCGACATCAACCACGGCTTCGACTCCAACCAGCTGAGCAGCGAGAGCAAGGCCACCCTGAGCCGCGTCACGGAGCTCAAGCAGACTCTCTTCACGCCCTCCTACGGGGTGGTGCCCTGCTGCACCAATCTGGAGAGGCTGCTCTTGTACTTTGAAATTCACGACTTCACCAGGGAAGGGACCACGGTGCCCTGCCAGCTGATGGTCGGGCAGAGCAGCGTCCCTCATTACCAGAACCTCCACGTGTTTTACGCCAGGCACGCCCCTGGCTATGTCAATCAGACAATCCTGAGCCTTTACCTAGCTGTGTTCAGCGTGCGTGTGCCAGACCACCTCAGGACTTTCGTCATCTCGATTCCGGGGAATTTTCCAGAGAGCGGGCCAGCTGCTAAGAACCTCATGGATGGCATGGCCAAAAACGGTGCTGTGGAGGCCTTGCAGCTTCCCAAAACCTGGTTGGACAGCTCCTCCCTTTTGCACATCCTAAAGCTCAGCACCCCTCGTTACTTGAATTTCAGCCGCTGTGCAGTGTTTGGGAGCCACCTTATCCACTGTGTGCTGAACGATGGCAAAGACCTCAAGCACCTAGTAAGCCTGAACCTCAGTGGCTGTGTCCACAGCCTGGCCACAGAGTGCACGCGGAAAGCCGAAGATGATATAGACTGCCAGGTTCTGGAGACTCTTGTCAGGACTTGCCCCTACATCAGGCATCTTAACCTGTCCGCAGCGCACCACCACAGCCCCGCAGGCACAGAAAAGCACCTGTGCACGGTCCTAGCTAAGCTCAAAAGCCTGCGCTCTTTGGCGCTGCCCGTGTGTGCTGTCGCCGATGAAGGGAAGGGCTCGGAGCAGTCGTCGAGCAATAACCTGCTACCGGCTTCGAACTCGGTGATGTTGGGCATCAAAAAGAGCGTCCGCATTGGGGTCCCAGCCTACAATCCCAAAGCCGGCAGCGAAACAGCTCACTCCAGCTTTAAAGTCCTGGTAGAGGGCAACCCTTTCTTAGAAGAGCTGGAACTGATCGGCTCCAACTTCTCCTCAGCCATGCCCCGCAATGAGCCCGCCATCCGCAAAGAGCAGGCGCCATGCTCCCGGGCACGGCACATCGGGGATGAGGAGGTGGCCGGGCTGGGGAAACTGAGGTTCCTGAGGCGCTTGACTTTGGCACAGCTGCCCGGGATTCTCAATGGGGCTGGGCTATTGCAGGTTGCCATGAGCTGCCGGGACTTGCAGGTGCTCTCGCTGGCCAACCTGGGCATGCTCAAGAAAATCACCTACATGCCAGCTCTTATGGAAGCGTTGGTTCACTGTAAGCAGCTGCAGGACCTCAGGTGAGGATGCAAATTTTTTGGCCTCAAACTATCAACTCCATCAGCTGGAGTTAGTGCAGTCTTTTACCAAATGGCAAGTTCCAGTTCAATATCGTTGATTTATTATAGTATTCATCTCACTCATCAAACTTCGTGCTTCTACATGATTCTTTCATACTGTACAAATGAAATGGCAGGTATTTAAGACGCCTCCTTTCATGCTACATTTTTGTTTATGTGTGTTTTTCACAAGGCACAGTGCAGTTATATATGTGAAGGGAGAAAAAAACAAAAAGCCCAGCAGTCTGACTTCGTAAAACTAAGAATGCAACTAAATTCAGCTTTCAAAGCTGAATTGAAAAGATCTTCCAAGTGTTTAAGTGAGATTTAAGATGTCCCTTATGGATATGGGGAATAAGCTCCACAGAAGAGGTGCTTCTGCTCTGGAAGAAGATTCTGTCGCTCATCGAGTCAGCAGATCCCAGGTTTATTTCACTGTATCCTTGTTCATCCCAAAGATAACCTGGACTAGTCAGTGTCTTGTACATGAGCAGGAAAACATTGAAGTACTAAGGTAGCCAGTTTTTTTTTAAAATAAGAAATGAACTACATCATTCTACGTAGTATCTTGGGAGGTATTCCAGTATGTTAGCCTAATCTTAATGACATATAGTCATGTATCAATACTTAAGCAATACACAGGCAGAGGAAGGATCTTAACTCAGCTGTGATAATGCAGGTGGAAGAAGGATAAATATGGGATGTTCTTGATATTTGCTTCAAATGACACCACAAGGTCAAAGTAATACTAACATTTGTGACTTTTTTAAGTGTTTGATTTCAGCACTCTGAACAACAACACTCAACTCGCCAAATACAACTTCAAAGTTGATTAATTTAACGTATTTTTGCAAAAGGCTTAAACATAGCATAGCACTATAATACGCTGAAATAAAGGAGTGATTTCGGGGTCAGCAATATTTTATCCTAATTTCGTTTAATGAAGCAAAAGAAATTAGGAATTGTTATGTGAAACAACAAGGTTTGATAACTTTTTCAAAAACTCAGATGTTTTTAAATTTGTGCATCGTGAATGAATACCACACAAAACTGAAAGGATTGTTATTCTCGTATTATGAAACATGCAGATTGTTAGCATCTTGGAAGAATGCAGGTCTGAAGGCCAGAGTCTGCCCTTTTCTGGCATCTGGATTTGAGATATGCTGCTTGTTTAGCATTGTGAACCAGATTAAGATAATCAGGGAGTCTGTTTGTATTTCTGAGGAATACAAAATCTCTATAGCTCACGTTAAATGTTCAGTTTAGCAACTTGAGTAAAATATAGTCGAGAAGAACTTCTTCATTTTTTGTTTTGTGTTATATATAGGTGGCACAGTGACGCAGAGGTAGCAGTCCTGGGTTCAATTCCAGATCTTTGGCTGCTATCTGAGTGGAGTTTGTATGTTTTCCCCATGTTTGCATGTGTTGCCTCAGACAGCCCAAAGACATACTGGTTGGATAATTGACTTATGGGAAAATAGGTAGATGGACAGACGTTATAGAAAATCTGCCTGGCCAAAAAACATCTTTCTACTGTACATACTGAAATATGAGAATCCTACCTTATTAAAATTGCCATCAGGTTGAATAAGGTTTTAAATTGTGGTCTTGGAATTAGTATTTGCAGTTAGAATTGGTCATTCAGATTTGTTTTGTTACTTGACAAGAGGGATGTTGAATCCACTCTTGAAATTTAAATAAATTGGTATATTCAATAAACAACAGGAGAAAAAGCATTCCCCTTTGTTCAGGGATGGAAACTATTTCAAACCATTGTACCTTAAGCGAGATGCATGTTTTGAAACATCTTCCCCTGGAAATATTGTTAAATTTGAACACAAGTGAGCACCAGTCACTGTCTTGTAACAATATTTGACATCTTTGCTCCACTGACCTGTAGCCAGGGGATTTCAGAAAGCGTGGCATGATTTAAAGTTGCCAGCAGAGGGCACAGCTTCCCTGTTCTGAAGCAGCAAAGAACTTTTTAATGGTTTAACTCTCAGTTTTAGAGTTATTAACATTGACCAGTAAAATTAGTCATTTCCTATGTGCAGTGTGGCTTTCCAAACACACTACAGTACTGGTTCAAGTCAGCTTAACTCCGTCATTTTAATAGATTAAAATGTGGGAATTGTGATAGGTTTTTGGAGGGAAAGAGGCAGGAGATTTATATCCTTTCAGATTTCAAATTGCCTGTTTTTGAGACCGTTCTGAAACTTATTTAATGGGAAAACATCTGTTTTGAAAAAGGTGGGGTTTCTGTTGCATAACATGATCAATTAGGCTTAGTGTGTTCTGCTGTACTAGGGAAAAGTGACAACTACAAACCACATGCTCATTGTAGAGAATTGAGGGCTGATTAATGTTCATTCCCATAATTCACTTGCTCTTAAAACACACCACACTTATGAATCACACTTCAGTTTTTTTTACCTTAAACATCATTCTGTGTTTGTCTTTCTGTGTGCTGTGCTTAGTGATGTCTTAAGGCTTACAATTATGGATTTGTCCCTTCTACAATACACAGTAACTATGCATAGTCACCAATGTAGTTCAAGTAGGTAGCTGTGTCAGCATGGGTAGGCTGCAAAGGAACAAGGTGACATCCGAAGAAGGCTCCACATCTGAAACGTTGTGTTTCTTTTCTTCTCTTTTCTGCATGGATGTTACCAGTGTGCTTATCTTTGTGATGAACCATTATACCATTCCTCCAGGTGAAAGAAAATCAGAATGAAAACGTTTTAGACAGAATTTCTTTACCTTTTATTTTGTATAGCTAATCAAGAGTTAATTGTTTTGGCAACCCAATAGGATGCCTATGTATTTGCCTTTGTCATTTGTAACAAGCGATGGTTCAAAGCTTCTAAAGCTTTGGGGGAAATTCCTGTGGTATTTTTTCATTCGTTTTTTTTTTTATCCCAAAATTCCATGGTCAAGGATGATCTCATTATCCTTTTTTCTCGCTTGCTCCCTGATGCCGGGGCCGAACCCTGGCTCCGCGCTCCCTTGCTCGCTCTGCCCATAGGCTGGAGCAGCCCTACATCAGCGCCAACGCGCAGTTTTTCCAGGCCCTGGGTCACTGCCACTCCCTGCGTCGCCTCTGCATCATCTCTCGCAACGGGACCTTCCAGCCGGACGGAGTGCTGCACTTCATGTCCAGCTGTCGGGACGTCATCATGTGCCACATGTTCATGGGGGAGACCCTGGTGGCCTGCAAGAACCTGCAGCAAGCTCTTTTGCAGAGGTGAGACATCTTATTATGTTAATAATAATGATGATGATGATTGATAATCATTCCTTACGCTTATATAGCACTTTTCTGGACACTCCAATCAAAGCGCTTTACAGGTAATGGGGACTCCCCTCCACCTCCACCAGTGTGCAGCCCCACCTGGATGATGCAACGGCAGCCATAGTTGCCAGAACGCTCCCCACACACCAGCTATCAGTGGGGAGGAGAGCAGAGTAATGAAGCCAGTTCATAGATGGGGATTATTAGGAGTCCATGACTGGTAAGGGCCAATGGGAAATTCGGCCAGGACTTCGGGGTTACACCCCTACTCTTTTCGAGAAACATCCCTGGGATTTTTAGTGACCACAGAATGTCAGGACCTCAGTTCTATGTCTGAATGGAAGGACGGCACCTTTTTACAGTATAGTGTTCCCGTCACTGTATAGGACCCACACAGACCACAGGGTGAGCGCCCCCTACTCAGGCTGTAGCTCATTTAAAAAAGATCTTTTTAATTTTTCTTTAAAAACAGTATTAATTTTTTAACTAATTTTACTGTTCACTATTTTAAAAAGGCAAATGAAGTAAGAGTGTGAACAGTGGAAAGGAAAAAGGTCGACATTGTTTGAACTGCACTAGAGACTCAAGGGGAATTTGTGAGTTGTGTTTTTCAGAACCGTGTTACTTGTTCTTCAAGAGTGTTTGTCCTACTTAAACATGAGGCTGCTCTGAATAATAACGTCATACAACAGGAAACAGAACAAATAATTACATAACAAATGGACATACAGCACTTGTAACAGTTCTGCTGAAACATGACCACATCACAGAATTAATCTGCATTACTGATTAACCGAAATCTTTTAAACCGCTTATTATATTTTGTGTAGTTTTACATTTTTGAGGAGAAAAAATGGTTCTCTTGTTTCGAAGCAGAAGCCCTGGCATTATTTCAGCGAAAAAAATCTTGAAACGTCCGTAAAAAATTCCAGTTGTTTCAGCCAGACTTGCCTTGACAGTTCTGAAACATGTGAAATACTTAGACTACTTAGATTCAGGATGCCTCCTTCCCAAAAACACTGCCTCCAGAAGGTCTAGAAACACTGCAGCTCAAGAAATATTAGTCATATAACGCATTTGTGAAAGGCTCAGCATCTTCATTATTAATTTTGTGGTTAGACTGCAGATTAGAGATGGGATTTTATTATGGCACAGGCAGCAGTGACAGTGTGTTTATAACTATCGCTTTACTCCAGAGAAGCAACGAATGACCCAATTTGTAGCTGGAAGCGAGTGACTCACGGCAAATTCCCAATACCTCATCCTTGTTCATGAATATAGAGTCTCTTTCAAAGGGGGAGAAAAATAGTAATGTTGTTTAAATGAGAATTTGAATGCTAGTGTTATTATCTTGCCTCGGCTTGTAACTATAGGGTGAATCTCAGTGTGGTTTGAAGGTTGAACTCCAATTGATCAACTCTCATCATGTTAGAACAATGATCAGTCTGCCTGTCATCATATTCTTAAATGGTTTATTCTGAGACCGCGGTATTGAGTATTTTTTTTTTTAAAGAAGGCGTTATTTATCCTGGAGCAGATAGCTATCGATTGGGCTGGACACAATACTAGCCTAGTCATGTCAGATAAAAAGGCTTTACAGCTGAGACGCAGACACCAGAGTGCTATTGATGGAGAATGTCTTCCTTTTTTGTCTAGTTGAAATTGCAAACTGAAATCAAGTCTGATTTCCCTCCACCCTGTTAATTCAAAATAGTCCGACTCTTCCCTTTTAATAATACTTGCTTTTCTTTTTGCTTGAAAGTGGTCTCCAAGTCTTTCACTTACACCTGGACCCTCAAAAACCTGTACTATATAGTTTCTCCATGTGTCAGATAGTGCATTTGTGCCAAAGTAGCACATAATGTAAATCTTTGTCATAAGAATCATTGTAGAATTGAGGACCAGCCTTTACTTTTAAGAGAGGTACAGTATGTGATTCACCATTTTTAAAGATCTCATAGGTCAGCTTTGTATTGCTTTTATTTTATTAACACACATATTTTCAGCTTGACTCTTGATGATAGCAGTGGTTTCAGGTTCATTTTCAGATCACCTCCATCTCTGCAACTTCAATTAATGTCCCAATGGTTATTACCAGTTCCTGCTGAATCAAACAAGGTGTTGAATTCATTGGCTGAGGTGGCACCCATTGAGCCCCACCTATGGGATTATTTTTTTATCCAACAAAAAGCAAAACCAACACCTAGAAAAATTCACTAATCACACAAATCTGTACCTAAGCACTCAGACGACTGCAGAGATGAAGAAACTTATTAGTGTGCCACGCCTTCTAATTGTGGTGTAGGTCAGCCATGCACAAAAGCTACAAAAGCCTGTTTTTCTTAAGCTCTCGGACTATAAATAACTTCTAAACAGCTAGATGTATGGCCCTGAGGTTTCTACTATATATATTACCGCAATTTTCAAGAAACCCTGCGTACCCCTTTTTTCTCTCATATGAAGGCTTTTAGGCTAAGAATTTAATATTTTTCTTTCAAGCCAGAGATGAAAAGCTGGTCGTAATATCAGGTTATATGATTTAATTATTGCAGTATTCAGAGACACATCCATTGTTTCTTAGTTGTTCTTAAGTTTCTGAATTATTTTGTGTGGTAAATGAGCTCTGTATGAAATACATGCTCAGTAGGAAAAAAGTGAATGGGAGGTATTTTAAGAAGACGTTACAGGCTTGTAGTGTTGGTTTAATGAAGCTTTGCTGCTGCCTGTCCTGATTATTGAACTAAATTGTTTTGGCAGTCGGTGAAAGCCACGAACGTATAACTGCAGTTCTTTCAAATGAGCTTTTCTGAAACAGAAATTTTGCCAAAACTGCCCTTTGAAAGCCCTAAGATTCAAAGCTTTTCTTAATTATTTAGGGGACAAGGAGATGTATTAACCCCTGTGACCTTCACTTGGGAATTGGTGGGTACAACCATAATGGTCACATCTATCAAAAGTCAAATGATCTATCTCCTCTTTACGTTGGAGTCCTCTTCTCATTAGGTTGTGCTTATTGAGAGTTGGGGAACAACAGTTCCCCACATCTATTCCATACCAGTCCTGCATATCTGTAAATGATTCAGTAGATCTCTATCAGCTTAAATCAATAAAGAACATTGAAAAAAAAACCCGCAGTAATTAAAAGACACTCAATGACGGAAACCCTGAGGTGAATCAAATAGGAACTTAACAAGGTTTCGGTTCTTTCTTTTTCAGTGAGCAAAAAACAAATTGACCTCTATGGTATTGACCACGAGATGGCGCCAGTGATCTGTTTGCGTTTAGTGGGCTTCGTTTGACGCGCCCGGCTATTTTTACTTGATAGATCCCTCCATAGACAAGCCGTTGCATGGCAAACAAGCAAGAATTGAGATTTGCCTGTGGTAATAAGCTCCTTGATGCTGGATAACAGCCAAGATTTTGATTGTAAAGAGGGAAAAAAAAACAAACAAAAACGAAATTGAACACATCTGAAAGAAAACAACGCAAAACTACCCAACAACAAAACAACAAAAAAAAAAAGAAAACTAAATTGCCTTCTTCAAACAGTGTGTGCTGATAATGGGCTTTTAGGGGGTGTTCTTTAAAGCTCTGTAAACAGTGCCTTTGTGGTTTTCCAAGCCTTGGGTTTCTAAACAACAGATTGGTGCCCCAGTTGCATATGATTTACAGCACACATCAATGTGTGCTGACAAGGCTTGATGAAATATGATCAAGAGATAGTTAGCGCTACAATTCTCTGGGAGGATTTTAAATGCAAAGAACTATTTTCCGCCATCTCTCCCTCGATCTCTCTCTCTCTCCTTTACCTGCTCTAGGCAATTTCATACAGAAAAGAAAAAGAGAGTTATAAAGTAGCTTAGAAATTAAATTACACCCTCTACCTCAAAGGACGGAACAGCACAAGGTGATGGACATATCGGCCCTGCTGTAGAATGGCAAAATCTTTATTATTGCCAGTCTCTAAACGTTAATCTTCATGTGAACACTCACACACCGAGACAAAATGTCATGTAATTTGTGTTTTTGGAATTTTTACAAATCTAGATATAGAGTAGTTATTTGATTTTGATATGAAGCCAGGAGAGCAACCTTTTTTAATACGCAAGTGCTAAAATGACTGTATCTCCAGTTTCTGTGGTGTCCGTAAGGGCTGTTTCCCTGAAACATCAGTCACTAGCATGGCAATCGAAAGCGAGTCACATGCCTGCTTCATTAAACTGCCCAATACATAATGCATTTTTATTCATTCAAATGCATTCAACGTGCTGTAACCTTTTAAAGGCCCTCCCTCCTCCCTAGGGAGCACTTTCTAAGCTAACGTTTGGGCTTTCGGACTGTGGGCCAGCATGCTAAAGCACTAATTCCGAAAATAAATAAATATAAGAACAAACTGATTAACACACCAATGGAAAATGAGCTTTAAAAAAAATAACACTCCGTTCGGCGCAGTCTAATTTAGAGTCCCTGTCAGGAAACATTAAACGACTCCAATTTACAGGCTGTTTTGCATTCTATAGGTTGCTGTTCAGATATGGGCTTGCTGTTTTCACAGGGAACTATTCAAGCTCTGTCTGAGTACACATCTTCTGTTTGATAATGCAATTTTTTCCCCTATTCTTGTTTTGAAAGATGTATGTGCACCTGTATATTCCAATAATTAGTCTATTCAAGGAGTCTCTTCCGTCATGTCCCCTGCATGCATTTGTTTACTTAATATCTTGTT